AAACTTTTAAGAGATTTAGCTCCACTCGCCCAATTTGAAATTTATTAAAAAAAAAAAAAATTTATTACATTTCCAACCCTGTATACTTACCAACGGGTGGATTTGAATTTAAAAATGCTTTTACCCACACAGGATAATTGTGTGTGATAATCGTAAAAACGATAGTTAAGGTCTACATTATATATATACATCACTGGAATCACAGAGATTTCTATTATTGATCTTTTGATTTAATATTTAATTGCTAAAAAAGATTAACTATACAACTAATAACAAATATTATTTTGGACTAATTTTCGATGATCATACAAGTTACACATTATAAAAGATTTGATTCATATACAAATAAATGTGATAACTTGCATGTAGAGAAAAAAATTTAATGATAATTATAATCTACAATCACAAACTTCGTTGACAGTTACAAATTTCATGTATTATTGCCAATACGTAGCATAATTTTTAAAAAAAATTTACAAATTACACTGAAATTTGTGTAACTAACAAGAGTAAGTTTCACAATTGTACTTTTTACAATTTTTTCATCCTGCATTTACTTTCACATTATTCGACGTAAAACGTAAAAGCAACTAAAGAAGCCAAGTGATGAAATATTTTAAAATATTTTATGACACAAACACGTATTTTGATTATTATACTCCCGTGTGCAATATTAAAAAATTAGTAGACGACTAGAGCAAAGAAATTATCAATAGAACTTGCGTCTGAAGAATATAAAAACGTTTTTTTTTTATTTAAAGCAGGTACACAGTCACAGTAACTTCATCACCTGAATTTAAAGTTAAACGTACGTTATTTAGGATATTAGTTTGTACAAAACGTACTTACAAATTATATTATGCTTTTTCGTTAAGTATCTGATAATGAAATGGCATTAAAAAGTTCAACGATGAACAAGAACAGTGTTGATGATTTCTTGGATTTCATCAAGAAACTCTTTAAAATGATCGTTCGTCGCAAAATCCCTAAAGGCCCTGAGTCTCTGAGTTTTAGACATCTTCGTGGTTAAGAAACTCTTGACACAGCAGGATTTGAGCTCATGGCATGCATTGCTGCGCGCCCACATCCACGCTCTGAAATAGTTTTTGTAATTCAGTTTGGATATCGAACTCTCGGTTAGTTGATCCGAGATCTCAGCCATAAGGAACTTGTCTGCCAGTAGAGCACCATCAAGCAGAGCTTCGATTTGATTGTCGTCAAAGTCAGAACCATTGGCAGCTAACAGCAGAGTTGTGAGACCGTCCTTGGTAGTATTCTTTAGCTTGACGCGACGCTTATTCGATTCCGAAAAGTTGCCTTCTAACATAGCTGAAAAGGCGTCAGAGCGTTGGCACAGCACACGACGACACGCGTCTACCGTCGTCCCATCGTCCAGTTCGAATGTAACTGTCGTTGGCTTTACAGGATTATCTACACTGCAGTTCTGAAAAAAAAAAAAAAAAAAAAAAAAAAAATTGAAATTAAAGTAGCAAATAATATTACCAACATTCGCAATAACAGTAACAAAATGTTCTAAAATAATGTACTCGTCACTTACTAGACTAGTCTCATGGTGAGCTACAAGGCCGTTATCGTTTATCTGACTCTTGTCAAGCACTTCGGGCTTGATGTCGAGTGAGTCAGCAAGATGACATATCGACCACACCGCCTCTTTATGCAACTGATGCTCGCTGTCCGATAGCACTTCGAATATGAGAGGCATTGCGCCGTAAGTACAGAGCAGGCAACGTAACTGATCCTTCGATTTTATAAGAAAGGGAATGGAAATGGCAAACATGAAACGATGAGGCTCTTGGAGACGTAGTAAAATCGACCTGAATTCTCCCATCGCGGGACCGGTTTCGGCTAGGGCACTCAAATCGCGCGCGTACGAGTCAATGCCACTCAGATCCTGCGCTTCAAATACAAAACCTTGTTTGATCAACGGCATCAAATAAGCTTGATTTCTGTAAACGAATATTTAAAATTTAACTGACTGATACCAATTTAAAAATTCTCCAACTGTTTAAAGTCAATTTATTAAGTAACACTTACTTGACAATTCTACTGAGTATCCGAGAGGCTTTTGGATTTTTTGCAAGTCTAATGTATGTGACAAGAGATTTAATCATGTCCGGATCGGCGAGCCTTTCGATTGGACTATTCAAGTGACTCAATTTACTCAGCAGCACCAATGTCCAAACATTAGCATGCTTATTGACTTCCATTTTCGTGACTCTATTTGTTTCTTGGATTTCTTCAACTGTAGCAGAAGAAAAACTTTTCAACGATCCTAATTCTTCTTGCAGTTCTGCAATAATTATATTTATGATATTAAACTTCTTGTACGCTTTTTTTATTTGATAATTTCTATTGGGCTCACCTTCATCTGCCCACTCATCATCACTACAAACAGGACTATAATTTTCCTCACAGTTCTCAATAGAGTCTTTGTTGTCCTCAAACAATTTCATAGGAGGCGTACTAGGTGGAGTGGATGAGCCACTCCTAGAACTCCTTGGGCTCCAGTCATCTTGTTGATAATCTAAACTAAACCTGAAAAAGTAAAGAAACATTTTTAATAACAATTGATATGAACCAATGGCTTTTTTTTGACAAACTCCTGGAAACTGCTTACCTTCCTGAATTAGTCTTATTGTATTTAATATCAGGTTTCCTATGTGGCGACCGATCTCCTATGCGCTTTTTTGGCGTTAATTTTTCATCCAGCTCTTCTGGTAACTCAACGGCCATCAACTTCATTTTTTCCGTCAAAATGTCAAGCAAGCCGTTTTCTAGCATAATCTTTATACTGTCGTCGTCGTAAACGAATTGAACAATTCCGTGAAGCAATACAGGATGGTATCTCTCGTGGTCCTTCCTTTTCATCAACTCCATCATCGCCTGGAGTCCTAAACGATAGCGAATTCGAATCCGATTGACCGCCTCGCGGCAAAACAAACATAACGTTGCCACGATTTCGCCAAAAGGAGCAGCATGATTCTCGACCAGTTGCACCGTAGTGTCTACAGCACCACAGTTACCCAGCAGTGGCCTGCACTCGGCTATGGCTGACAAACTGTACATGCATCGTATGGCCAATTTATTTTGAGCCTTCAAAAAGGTAACTAAAGTACGATAACCGTCCAGATTTTCACCAGCCATCTGCTGGGCGTGATCGTTGTTTGAACCAACAAGAAAGGCTCCCATTGCTTTCATGCAGGTTTCTGCCAAGTCCAAATACCTGATATCCTGGGATTTCTTGCCAGCACTAATAAAGATCGTCGTTATTGTTTTGATGACACCACTGGAAACGATTTTATCCCTACTCTGATCATACATGCTCCAAATATTCCTAAAAAATAATTCAATTCCATAGATTGTGCATTAAAATCTTGAAATTATAGGAAAAATTGAAAATCAACTTGATAATGGTAGCAATTGTCTTTTGAAAATACCTTATTGCTCTTATGGCCATCAAATAAGTTTGGGTATTGGCTTTTGTACGTAACACATCATGCATAATAGGTACTGCTCCAGCATCATAGAATGCTTTAGCATGCCAGCTACAGTCTGACAAATTTCCTATGAGCCTACAAGCTCTGCAGTGTAAATTATCACCGGGATTCAAATTATCTAGTACCCATAAGGTATTGGTAGCTATGTTTGTCTCTCGCACCTGTAAAAAAAAAAAGTTATAATAATTATAACTCATAAGAATACCAACACAAAAACACCGTTCGGGCATCGTTTTCAAAAATCGTAATATTTTTTTTGATACCAATGGGGCCAAGTCAATGACCCCATGATGTAATCAACATGACACTGACACAATCCATATAAAGCTTCATAAAACATATACCAAACACTAGCTACAAAATCCAAATGTTGACACTCCCACACTAGGTACCAATAAATTCCTCTGTAACTACTTGTATAGGAACTCACCTGCTGTCTCACGTCGGAGTTCATGCATAAATTGGCAAGCAAACTAAGCGAGGCGTTGATGATCTTGACATCCTGGAATCTGAGCAGCTGGACAAGCAGATCTAGGCCGCCAGCTTTGACGAAGCGCTTGCTCGACTGCACGTCGCTCTTGAGACGGTTCAAGCAGACAAGCATGTTCGCCTTGGCTTTGGTCTTGAAGTGTTTCCTGAGCTCGTTCAGCGTGTGGCTGAACGGCTTTTCGAGATCATCGGACATATCTCGTGGCATACATCGATGATTCAGCAACAGCAACAACTTTTGCAGTTATGCTGCCCGCGATGTTCGCCTCCTGCTTGCAATTTGCAATCCCCCTTTCGCTCGCGGTCGGGTTTGGCTCTTCGAACATATCGCGCTCTAGCTAACTAGCTTCCTCGAGTCCGGGCCCCTGCCATGGTCCCCGTGTTTTTTTTTTTTTTTGTTAACTGGTGCTGCTCTCCGTGACAGACTAGAGTACTATCCTTTTCTTCTGTTTTGTTCACACACATATGCAAATAGGGTCGCCCTAACCTCACTAGGGCAAAGTAGACGACCGTACCCCTTGTCGATTTTAGTAACAAAAAAAGTTATTTGCGAAGCGCGTTTAATTTCGTTTTTTATTTAAAAAACATGTACTTTAATATGTTTTGTACGTTTGTGACAAGTACAAGCACATATAGCTCAACAACAACGCAAATACTGCAAACAAAATGTATGACAAACGTTGAGGTGAAAATTAAAATTTTTAAAGCTTAAAAAAGGCCTGTTGCACACCTATACTCACAAATGATCTACATTTTACGAGACGTTTAACAATTATGCACATAATATTCGTAGTTTATGTCGAAAACAAGCAGGTGTACAACATACATAATATGATTTCCTGATATGATGAGAATTTCTGGTCAATCCATAATTTTGGGGTTTTCTGTACTTTCCATTACAGAAGTAATTTTATCTATGATAGATGAATTGCAAAATTTAAATTAAATATCAAGGAGCTTAGGATCTTGTACTCATTTATGTGAGCAAATTTAATTCAAGGTGCTGATGTTTGATGGAATTAAATTATAACTCAGATTGCTATAAAAATTAAAAAATCAAGAAGTATTTCGACACTGTTTTAGTCTTTATTTTAACAATCTAGATTAACATCATTGTAACAATTTGTGAAATGACCTATTTACAACGGTAATAAAAAAAAAAATTTATTTTGAATAAAAATAAAATTTAAAGTTTCTTTTGTATACCAAAACCTTTGGTATTAATAAGTGTTTTTTACTTTCTAACAAAATATACTTGTTCTGCAGTTTATATTTAGCGCAAAATAGCAGTAATGATGATTATTTGATATAGACATACTTTAATTACGTTAGGCTAAATGAACAATAATTTATTTTCCTTCCTGAGTGATAAAAGTTTGATTATTAAGCCACAAGAGATGTTCACCTTGAAATATGAACACACCTTACAGCGACAGTTGTATTAAAATTTGAATGAGAGTTAAATCTCTTTTTTTTTTTAAATTTAAATTAAAAATAAATAGATTCTTCAAGTAAAATAATTCTAACATTTAGAAGTACGAGAGTTTGGGGTATGCAAGCCCAAGTGAGATGAATTTAAACTAGCTGAAGCTGAATAATATCCCGAACCTGCTGATCGAGGAACTTTGGTGGTAGTCGGCATTCGAAAAATTTGTTCAGTATTCTTTAATTGATTCTGATTTCCCTGGATGTATTGAGAATAACTCTTTCGACTATCGGCACGATTAATTTGATTTTTTGGTGAATAATATTTTGATCTGATGGAAAAGATATATTAATATAATCAAACATATAACATATACAATAATGTGGTTATCACGTATTCGGCATCTGACACTTACGGAGTCATTAACCACAAAGAAGTATTCGATCTGTCTTTTTGCATAGCAATAAATGTGATTTTTAACTTATTGTACTTATGGTAAATCTTTTTCAAATTTTCAACACTGACCCAATAAGCTTCTTTCAAAGACTGGTACTTGTTCTCCTACACACACATTATGTACGTAGTTCCAAAATCACAAAGATAAGTAATATAGTAAATAATTGAAACTATTAACCGAGATGAGAAAATTTAAATAAAATACAAATAAACTTACGTTTTCATCAGCTCGTTTCAAATAAAGGGCCATTTGAGCTTGCTGGAATTGCTCAGCTTGAATAATTTTGTCAAGCAGTTCGCTGGGAGGAGTAAAAAAATGAGCAATTTGAGGGCTCAAAGGCTCCTTTAGAGGGAGCGAAATCGTACCTGCAGATCCGCATTGGCAACATCTGCTTTCTCCTGAACAATACAAAAAAATTGAGGGAGCGTCAAAATATCGATGAAAATGAATAGACAATCTACACCTACCTTTTCCGATGCACTTGTCGCAAAATATATGGCCGCATTGTATCAAGTGAAACATTACTGAGTTTACTGCTTCATATTTCAGCCAGCAAGAATTGCAACGCATCCACTCCATGTGCTCCTCTATTGTTTACTTACCTATCAAGTATACCGCTTACGTATACCTACACCAAGTGTACATACTTCAGATGGAGTCAGTACACTTAAATAAAAAAAAAAAAAAAAAAAAAAAAAAAAAAAAAAAAAACGTATACCTACTTAATTACTTATCTACGTACTTACCTACTTTTAGCCTACCTAACAGCAACAGCAATTTGCAGCTTTTATAAACTCTTTGTTGTTTTGTTTTGTGCTTGATGATGCAGGATGCAGGTAAACCGGCCGCGTTGCAGTGAAATGTTGTACATTTGCCTACCTATAACCTATGTTGCGTTGCACTTCCAGGCGCCTACGTACGTAGTTTTACCAACATAAAACCATTAAAGTACTGTTCGTCATTTATTGATACACGTTAATTAAAGGTAAAAAAAATTAGGTAAGAGCAAATATTCATTAGAAGTGCATCAAGTATTATTTTAAAAAACTGCTTTAAATTTTTCATCAGTGATGTTTCAATATTATTTTTTTTTTGTTAAAGTTGTAAGTATAACCTGCTGTTTTGTTTCGCCGGCAGCTTTTCTTTTGTCAATGCAGGCAGTCATGTTGCGCACACGTTTGGAAGAGAAAATATACTTAGCCGTTGTTTTAATCTGCACGGACGACTATTGCATGTGAAAAAGTGTTACTTATCCTGGGGAATTGATCCGTAAGCTTGCTACATTTATTATTTATTAATTATTTAAGTGATTATTGTAATCGATTGTTTTTTGCCCTCCAGCTCTTGGTAGCAATATTATTTTGCTTTTACCACATTTGCATGGAAATTATATATATATACTTATGGGTAATTTTTTAAACTCTATAAACACCAGCTTAAACATGTTTCATCATTACGAAGGTATGTATAAGTATATGTGCAGAGGCATTTGTAAAATAATAGTATAATACTTGGTGAAATCTTTTTTTAAGATTCCTCTGCTAGCCTGATATTAGCCGATGAATCTCGTAGTCAATTTTTATCCCTGCTTTCTGATACGTCACCCAAAAATGTTCATGAGAGCTTCAAAAAGGAAGAAGATAAAAGTTCTCTGAAAAATACGAATAACGTCCTATTTCTCAGTCCCAAAACTGCCTTTGAAGTATTGCTAGAATTGAAACCATTGGCGGGATTTAGTACTCAAGAATGTGACAACGCAGTGTTAGCTTCTCTTGCGGTAGTTGTACAAGAACATATTTTTCTATCGTTTTTTTTTTTTTTTTTTTTCAGTCATTTCATTAGATTTTTTACTTTAAAGGTTGATGAAAAAATTTTCTTTGGCAAAGGTTGTAATATAAAAAGTGCTGTGGAAAATACAGCTGAAAAAGCATTACAATTTTTCTATTTTCAAGTAGTTGTAAATACGGCACTATCTACAAATGATGCTGATAAATGTCAGGTATACCATCTATATGGAAGTATCTCAAGTCTTAAAAATAAATTGTTTTATAATTTTTGTTTTACAGTACGATACAGAGCCTTGGAAATCATTGGCTTCCCTTGCAGTTTTCAAATTGATGAAAGAATGGTTACAGATTTACAAAACAGATAAGCTTTACAAACAACGATATGAACACTACATTCATCGTAACTTGCAAACTCGAGCTCAAAAAAACTATAAAAAGAAATTCGACCATCCAATTAGTTTTTTGAATCACCTAGCTAAACAGAATATGAATTTCACAGACTATGTCGTCATAGATAATTTAAAAGAACATTACAAGTCTGTTTTAAAAATAAATAACGTAGAATACGAGGGAGAACGTAAGTTTAACTGTTTTTAATTCATTTTAATTAAAAAATAATAAATGAGCACTAACTTTTGGATTGACAATATTTTTACAGCCTGTAAGTCCAAGAAAGGTGCGAGACAAAATGTGGCAACGAAAGTTTTGTTAGACGTGTATGGGATTAAATTTTAAACAAAACATCTGTCATTGAAAATTTTATTAGGATTTGAAAAATATTTTAGTGGAAGTTTTAATCCTCTTCACGATGAAAATTTTAGTTAAAAATTCAAAATTATAATTAAAAAAGTATTACTTCTAATGTAACGCACGGAAGTATGATGTTCGTCTATTTTATTTTTAAACCAAATAAGTTTTATTGTAATGTAATTTAAAATATTGAAACTAAAATAAATTTTATCATTCTGAAATTTGTTAAAAATCTGGTAAGAACTATAAACCTCAGTACTTTTTACCTCTTCCTCTACCTCGAGGTGTGCTGCCTTTTTTTATTTCTGAAGTTCGTTTGAAAAATCGTTTTGGCTTTTCCTAGAAAACATTGTCAGATAAAACTATACTTCAAAGAAATTTTATTGGATTATTCAAAATTCTTACTGGAGATTTCAATTGTGAGGGTGAATTTGATGTCTGAGTTAAATGATTGAACTGTTCATCGATGGGTAACGAATCTATTTCCTTTAAAACAAATTAGTTGTAAGTATTTAATTGATCTACAGAATACAATTGATGAATATGAACGTGTTTACCAATTCATCATCTGCAAAAGTTGGTGTGTAAAGTTTTCTTCTGTACTTTAGTTTTTCTTCAGTCTCTACTTCCTAAAACAATAAACAATTAATTACTCCCTCCAACTTGCGTAACGTTAAGGTCTACTCATACCTCAGAGACAAACAGATTAGGTAAATTGTACTGGCTTATGCTTTTTGTCATTTTATCCTTGTTACTTTTTATTTCTTTCAGCTTTGATTCGTATCTTCCATTCATTTCACGTATTTCTTTTTGCATCAGTTCAACTGTTACCTCAGCCTCAGAAATTTCATGGTCAACTTGGCGTATTTTAGTTTTAATCTCATTTGTTTTATCGTTTGATTTATTTTTGGTTTTGCTTTCTTTTCTTTTTCTTTCACATTCTTGTGTAATATGCATAAGAATTTCTTCTTCCTTTCTTATTTCCAACTCCAACTTTCTTAAGCGGGATTCCGTATCTTGGTAGCCTTTCAATTTACCTTCCAACTCACAAATCTTTGATTGCAAAATATTAGTGACTTTAATCTCATTTTGTTTTAAAGACTCCAGTTCTGTTTCAGAAGCTTTTAATTTTTCTTGAATTTTTTCAAAGTTAGCTGTGTTTTCTTTATCCTCGTGACACTGTTGGTCCAATTGATCTTTCTACAATGCAATTCCAACATAAGCATTTTGAAATACTGAAGATTAATAAAAAAATTACCTCTTTCATTAATAAAACTATTTCGTTGTTAACGTCTTTGATTTTTTCTTCAATGCCCTTGAAAGTATTTCTTAAAACATTTTTTAATTGCGAGCCATTACTTTCTTGCGAAAATAAGTTTTTATTAAAATACTGCCTTACCTTGCTTCTTCAAGTTGAGTATTATATTGGGAAATGTTCTTTTCTAATTCTGTGACTTCTTTGGCTTTAGTATTAATATCCTAAACGTATAATTAAATGCATAAGTTGATACAATAGGTGAAATGGTTGTTAAATAAAGGTAGTCAAATTACTTGTTTTAATTTTTCCAGGTCTTGAATTACGACGTTCTTTTTTTTATCTGCATCTTCCGCAAAATTTTTCTGTTCTGTCTGTAATTCCTTTATTCTGAAATAATGTAATAAATAAATTAACAGTAACTATTTAACTTTATCAATTAAAGTTGTAGGTACCTGTTCTCAAGATTTTTGAGTTTGCTCTGATCCTCCTCTTTTTGTTTTTTAATTTCACTGATTTTGGTATTCAAAATATTTATTTCATCTTCAAATTTGCTATTTTCTTTATTTTGTTCATCAATGCTCAAACTTAATTTACTCAACTCCAGAAAAACTAATAAAGTATGTAGATACTTAAATTAAAAAGTATGAAAAATAAGTTTTACAATAGCAATAACAGATTCTAACGGTCTTTATCCGGAGTTATTTTATTTAATTCTTCCTCGAAAGATGTCTTGTCATTTTGTTGAATCACAACTACAGAGTCGTACACAGTTGTCAATTTTTCAGAAAGATTGTCATGTACACCAAGAGTTGTTGTAATATCTTCCAAGTGTTCAACAATTGTTTTCTGATACCCATACAGCTCTTCAACTCTGCCCAAAAAAGTTTATGTGTTTTTAATACATTTAAGTAGCATAAACGTAATTTCTTTTTATACCCAGTGGTACCCACTTTAATCTGAGGACCTTATTCTCTTGTTCCTTATCATACATGATTTTACTCTGTTTACACAAAAGTTTGTTTTCATCTCTCAATTTTTGCTTGATGATTTCATCTTCCTTTTTAATTTTAGCAATCTTAATTTGCAAATTTTTGATGGAATCCTGAAAAAGAGAGAGAGTTAGTTGGTATATTTCCCCAGCTCTCACTATGAAACTGACTCTTATATTTCTACCAACTTTCAGTGAAAGGACAATATCCTTGATTTCTTCAATAAACTGTTGCCTCAGTTTTGCAGCGTTGTTCATTCTGACATCCCTCGTCACTGGCACAGTTTCACTTTCTGGTTTTGTAGATGATGGATTGGCCATATTTTGAGGTGGAAGTTTTGTCAATGTTGCATTCTGATTTGTTCTTGAAATTTTTTGCGCGGATCGATTCTCCATATTACTACTGCGCTGTTCATACAGCTCATCAGTCAATGTTCAGCAGAGAGTGATTTTATGTATTTATCCACAAAAAAGATTATGATCGAAAACAACATCGACTGGTGTGGTGAGAAACTTGCTTTGTTGTTGGACACTAAAACTAAATTCGATCGAATTAAGAACTCTTTCAGTAAAAAGCAAAAAAGTTCGTTACAAGTAAAAGAACGAAAAATTCCAAATATTCAAAATTTACGCGGGAAACGGAAACGAGAGAGAGGAAAGGTTAGGTCACAAGTATGAACAAAAGCAACCGCGCGCTGTGTGGACCCGCTATTAACAAATTGGTTTTTGGCAATTGATTCGATAAAATATTCATTTAGTTTGTTGGATTTGATAATAGTAATCAATTGATCACAATGGGTGTCAAAGCCTGTTGCGTTTGTGCATCTGAAAGTACTAAATACAAGTGTCCAAAATGCAAGAAACTTTAGTGAGTAATCGTACATTTAGTTTTTTAGGTTCATTTATTTGCGGCGTACAGGCGGTATATATAATACTTATTTGAAACATTCTATTTCACTTCTAGCTGCTCTGCAATTTGCTGCAACAAACATAAAGAAAAATGTTCTGGTCCCACGGAATCTGTAGACTACGAAATTCATCAGAGTTCGTCAAATAAAGAGCAGTTGGAGTATGATTTTCCCACAGAGGATACAGTTCCCATAGAAAAGTTGGAACAACTGCGATACAGCGAAGGAATAAAAAATTGTCTGAGGAATCCCCAAGTAAGAGACATCATAACATCTGTGCTGCAGAATGAAAATCCTACCAAAGCCATCGCAGAGGCTATGACAGAACCAGTGTTTGTCGAACTAGCAGATGAGTGCTTGAAAGTTGTGGAAGTACTGGATGATGATAAACCGTGTTGAAAGTGAGTAAGTTGAACGATGAACAGTGTTTTTAGTTTTCTTTTTACATTTTTTATTTATATTCTATTCTCATAGACAAGTACATACTGTGTGTGGTGTAAAGTAAAGACTTGGAAAAAATAAGTCTGCTTATCCGATTAGGATAAGAAAAATTTACTACTGTTGATAACCCTTGAAATAATAGATACAATTTTAAGATACGTTATAAGGGATGAAAATATTTTTGTAAATATATAATTTTCTGACTCAAAGAAAGGTATTTTTCCTTCACAACATAAAACATTGCAATAAATGATGAACATATACTGGTATTTAATTTCGAGCAGATAAGGAGATGAACAGATCTTTTTGTCGGATGCACACAAAGTTGATTCCTATGCTTTATGACCACCAATACAGATGTACAGTTAAATAAATTACTGGCATCATTAAAAGTGGTCAAATACATGATATTTTTTTAGTTCTACTGCTGGTGTTCATGTATATAATAATCTTCCCTGAGACATAACTACTTGTTATAATAGTGACACGATTTCTTTTTATTGAGAACAACTTGTTCCATTACAAAAATTATGCAACAAAGGTTGTATTAATTTTCATTAAGGGATATATATGAGCTAATGTAGGTATATTTTTGATAATTAAGTAATTTATTGAACTAGCTTTATTTCTAAAGTAATTAGACAAATGCATAACTTCATAATGTCACTTTGATATTATAGGAGCCACTCTAATAGGATAATTTAAAAATACAAAAACATGCATATATTCTAAATAGCTTATTTACACGTGTATTCTTTTTTTTAAAATGCTAGTGTAATACTTACTTATAGAGTATAAAATAATATTACATCTTACATAATTATCACAAAAAGTGTTTGTATGAAAATTTTCTATTATGTCGCAAGTACAACTACACAAAAAAGGAGGCAATGAATACAAGTTGTCAGTTAGGTTTGGATAATAATATGAACCATCTCGCTTCGACTAATTTTTTTTTCCAACTACTTAATTTTAAACTGAAAAGTAAAGGATTCGTGAAATAAAAAAGCGACACGTTGAGCGTCAAGGTTCCAAATAAATGTTTGAAAACTTCAGTTTGCAAAGTTTAAAAATTGTACGACGACGAGATGTAGTTTTCCAGATTGCACGGCAGTTCTGCCCCACTGTCCTCTTCAGCGCTCAGAGCGTGGTACCTTCGGCGCACGTGGTGAGCCACCAGTTTCGGTTGCCTGTCGCGCGTAAAGATTCCCTTTTTGTTGCCACCTACCCTGGTGTAGGCTGAAAAACAATTTGAATCCTCAGTAAGAGTCACATCTTTGTTTTTTTTTTGTCCTAGATAAAGATAAAAACTCGGGAGTCATCGTACTTTGCGCCGTTCTAAAGTCCGCAAAGTTCCATATGAATTCACCGATGAAAAAGCCCTCGGCCCTCAACTGGTCGAAAGCCTCAAAGTGACGGGACATTGTCTTCAATTGGTACTCCTCGCTCCAGACGTACTCCGGCAGCTCGTGTAGCCCCGGCATCGTGTCTGCGCCGTACTCCGACATCAACACTGGCTTGTTGTACTTGTCGTGCCAAGCTTGGGCTTCGGACATCACGCGATTGGTTATCATGTCGAGTCTCCCTGTGTTCGAGTACCAGGCGTTGTAACGATTGAAACTTATTATGTCCAGATATTGGCCCGCTTTGTCCTCCTAATCCATGTTTGAAAATGTTCATTCGAATTCATGCATAATATACATTTATTGTTGAGTGATTGTGGGTTAAAAATAATGTACCGTAACACTGCGTGCGAGCGCAATGGTGATGGGCCTCGTGCGATCGAGGCTTTTCGTGTGATATGCTACTTTTTCGAAGTAAATCCCGGCATCCGCCAGCTGAGTTCTGGGCTCGTTCGCAATGGACCACATGACGACCGACGGGCGATTCTTGTCTCTGCGAATCAACTCGGACAAGGACAGTTTGTGCCTGTGCAGCAGTTCCGATGAAAAGTTTTCCGTGTCCACCGATGGGCATTCGTCGATGATCATGAATCCAAGCCTTGAAAAATGATCAATAGATCAGCTTCGATTGATTGGATGGACGCAACGTTTTTATTTACTTGTCGGCTAAATCGAGAACTTCGTCGCTGTAGGGATAGTGGCTGGTTCTGTAGGCGTTGGCTCCGACCCACTGGAGCAACTCGTAATCTCTGGCTGTTGTGACTAGGTCCAAGCCACGGCCCCTTATCGCGGAGTCTTCGTGCCTCCCGAAGCCGCGGAAGTAAATTGGTTTGTCGTTTATGAAAAAGGACGTATTCGTCCATCTCAAAGTGCGTATACCCACGGGCAGTCGGTATATGTCGTGCTCTGTGACATTGGGCAATTTAACTTTCACCTGTGAAGTAAAACATTTTTCCTCACCACTCGATACTCCTCATTTAACCCATGCAGTTTATAGTTTATATTCAATACAATTATTATTATTTCAAGTAATGCCAATCTATTCGTGATGATTTCAAGTTAATCGCTTCATTATGTTTCATTCATGTTTCATGTTTCAGATCTCAAATAACGTTAATTTGCATTATTGAAGTACGAAAAAAAGTTTTTAACTTGCAACTTTACTTTTGTCTAAACTTTACGTAGAATTAAGATTGCAATTTAAAAAAAAAAAAAGAAAATTGAAAAAATTCATGTCAAAGTATTTAAATATTTCATTTAAAAAATACTTTGCAATAAACCTTGATATTTAAAATTAATCCCACTGCTGGCAAAAAAATTGTTTTGTATTGTTTATAAAATTATCTTAAAGCTTTTAAAAATCTATAGTGTAATTGTGCCCGAGTCTGTACGTAAGTACACATATCTAAAAAAATAAAATGACCCTCCTACCGACGCGGTTGGCCTTGAACCTATTAAATTAAACTTTTGATCGCCAATCCAACGATATAATGTTTAAAAACGTACTTGAACCAAAAAGCAACTAACTGTGATTTTAAACGTTTCAATGAACACGAAAACAAAAAAAAAACCACCTCCATCGTGTACATGTAACCGGGCTTGTCGCTCATCGACCGGGGCCACCAAAGGTGGGGCGATTTAATCTTCAGAACCCCGTGGGTCCCCACACTTGGTTCACTTGTGACGTATTGCTCCTCAGCATCGAGGACGCGCACCTCGCACAGAGGCATTTCCTTATCTCTCAGCCCAGCTACTTTCAGGCTGTACTTGATGACACCCACTTCGCTCACGACTCCAGTATCGATGTCGATGTCTTCGACGAAGACTCTCGGCTTTGTGTGCAACAACACTGGCCTGCAAAATAAAGCTCATAAACTTCGTTACCATATGCACCCGTAGTTTCAATAGGTATAAGGTGATAAACCCTTTGAGGATTTAAACGTTTACATAAAGTAGAGAGTGAGTTTCAAGTCGTAGTGATGATGATAATACCTGTGTATGCCGGCGTAGTTGAAAAAGTCAAACGTGTAACTCTGCACCCGGACCGTGCCATTATCGGCCTCGGCTTTGGCAATTTTACCTTGAGGTACACTCGTTTGCGAAAGACCGTTGTCCACGGCCACAGTGACACGATTCTTCTCCCCAAACATAGCCATTTTTGTGATCTCGGCTTCGAAAGGCAAATGACCCATTTCGTGATTTGTTAACAACTCGCCGTTCAGCCACTGGTGCACGAATCAAAGTGGTATACACGGCGAGGCAAAAAACAGACGAGAAAAACGACGTTGCAATAGTAAATTATTACCATGATTTCGCGGTAAGATAATGACGTCGCTGGCTACCGCTGCAGGTACAGTTCGAGAGTGGGAGGGAGGATAATGAATGGTGGTGGTGGTGGTGATGACGATGATACTTACCACTTGGGCTAGGTAATTGACGGAGCCGAATCTCAAGAAAACTCGCTTGTCCCGCCAAGACTGGGGCACGAAGAAAGTTTTTTCGTACCAAACTGGTCCCACGTAATCTCGTAGTTCGCTAGAGGTTGTGATGTCGTTGTAAGACGAGGGCACTGGCATTTGCATCACTTTGGCGACCTATTTTAACAAATTTTTCTTTTTTTTTCTTTCTCATTTTAAAAAAAATTCTATTGTCATGACAAAGTCAATTTTCGTAAACGTGTACCTTTGATAAATCTTCTGCGTACCACATTTCGCGCAATCCTTTTTGAGGATCGTTAACAGACGGCACGGCAAAGTCCCAAAAGCCATCCAGAGACTTTATCTGTTAATAAACGAAATAAATTTATTTGACACCTGACACTTCTTCGAGATTATTGTTTTGCTCAATTTATTGTATTTTCGTATTGTACTGTTCATTGATCTATAGGTATATCAGATTTACTTGTCGCGCATATACTTGACACGTTGATTACCGAGTCGGAAAAGTAAAAAATAAAAAGTCGATGTTTCTATTGAATTTTCCACAATTTAGACAATCATGATGTGTACTATTGCGATATTTATGGGTTGAGTATAAATATTTTTTACTGATTGATGTACTGATACACGTCATTTCTTTGAAGGATGACATTATTTGGAATTAAAAAATTTGTAGGGATAGTACATTTTTTGGTTCGAATAAACGAAAGATGGTTTTCTTATTTCAATTTTTTTATTCTTTTTTTCTTTTTAATTAATATTTTTATGACATTCTATACTTTTCCAAAAACTTCTGACGCTGTATTTGGAGGTATTCGGTTGAAAAAGAAAACAAACTAGCCTTAGTTTTCTATAACCAAATGAAAAGTAAAAAAAAAAAATAATTTTCTTGAATATATAACCGATAAACAAAACTATATCGAAAACCATAAGAAAAATCGACAGTTCATATACCATTAAAAATATAAGAAAAAATGTGGGTATCACGATAATTACATGACGACTAACCGATGAATAAAATTTCTTCGACAACTCGTAAAATTTTGGCATTACCCTTGCACAGGTTTTTTTCATTTTTCCTTACACATCGCAACAGGAAAAACATCACTGCCCAATAATGAATAAATCACTCTCATTTTTCTACAAAAGCATTGGTAAAAATGTTTAAGGAAAGGCGTGATCGGTGATTAACTATATGTAATTACAAGCAGGTGCGAAAAAACATATCTCGAAAGTTACGATACCTCGCGCGACTCGCTCTCCCGCGGATACAGCAGTCCCGGTAGCGGCATCACGGGTTTTTCGGTGGTGATGCTGATGGGGGCAGCTATGGTCACCGTAGCCGGCGCGGCGAAATTATCGATGACAGCCTCGATGGGAATACCAGATGGCCTGATCTCGATCTCGCTTCCCGCGACCAGCGAGCCGGCCGTAGCCGCCACGAGCAGCGAACGAAGTAGCCACATTACTCAGCCCTCTATTTTTCCTGTGAAGCAACGTAAAAGTCAAGTTGACCTGTTAAATTTTACCGATCGTTGTAAATATATTTTTATTTGTTTCCGTCATTAGCGTGTGGTTAGTGTAAGAGCCGTTGTTTTATGTGCGCGCTGGCATTTTACAATAGCTCGTAGCTATTGCTTTATACCTGCCACAGTGCTGTAGAGAAGAAGTATTTCATGTCCAAGTAATGCGAATAAGTTTTTTCGTTTACGCGTTACTGCATGAATTTGTAATTAATTATTCTTAGACACGATCGTCGAATGGAGTATGCTCCAAAAAATCCAAGAGTTTTAAAAACGTACCTCTTCAATGCGTTGTATACCTTACAGGGAAGCAAACAATTACGTGATCCCGTTGAAAATTAATTAATTTGGTTTTCGCGGTTTCACTTTCAAACGACAGTAAACCACCTATTATAGCCCTACTAAAATATATTGTCAAATATTAAAACACTGAGATTAGGCAACAACAAAATAAAAAAAAACGGTTACTCAAGTTTTACATTTACCGAAGGGTAAAAGATTTTTTTTTTCTGCAAAAATTTATCGCGAATAAATGTAAATGCAAGCATTGCGTGGGTCAGTGACCGTCGTTCTGTCCAATCAATAGAGCGTCTACACCTATGACCATAACTGCGTTCATGGTCAGGTACATGTATACAGTTCTCCGTTATTGTGTAATTTTTTTGTTTTCATTTTTTAGTAAAATATAAATTTATTTTTTATTTTATTTTTTGTCAAATAACCGTTTATCAGTATTTTAAAAATGCAACTAATACCAATAATAAGTTTAATAGTATCAATCGTATCCATAAATTTCGAAAACTGCTTGCAACAAACCCTCTATTTTTTAGAACAACCGACAAAAATTTATTTTTTTCGCAATTGTAATGATTTCTAGATAATATATTTAATGCAAAGATTTGTCGTGCGCAAATCAAGATAGAATAGACAGAAATTTACTATAACGATAAAATTAAAGCGCACGTAAAAAGTATTAAACAGTAAGTGCAGTTTAAAATGTAGAAAAAAAAAAAAGAAAAAAAAATCAAGACTTACGGGTATCAGAAAGACTAGCGAAGACGAAACGTCAGACGTGCTGGCGCTTCCGTCCGTCTCAGGCGATGGCTCGCGCGAGACTGTGCAGGACACTGGGTTACGCAAAGCTTAAAAACTCGGCCGGGCGATAATACGCGCTCAAACGGGGTACTTATACAGTGTTTCTCTCCTTTTGTTTTTGTTTTCCTGAATCCGTGGACAACAACCAATTGGGGAAACAAAGTGCCCGTGCAATTTGCAGCAAGAGAAGTCAAGCGCGCGCGTACAATGCCGTGCTGCTGTCGATCGATTGGACTATCTTTCTCGGACATCGGTGTGCAATTAAAATCGCACAACAGCTCCATTCAACGTTTAATGTAGCAGCAGTATAGCAAATTAACGGGAGATGATACGCCGATGTACTCGTACAAACGAGCTGATGGTAGACAATGTTTTAATTGATTTTTATGGGATGTAGATAGCAAAAAAAATCAAAATTTGTGACATTTAAGAGTAAAACTCGCATTGGACAGTTTCTAATTGCGTATCGTTGTATTCTATTATTATACTGTGTTTACGATCGCATCTGATTTCTTCGTTACGTAACTAATTGTTCGTTGAGAAAAAAACACTATAAGCAATTACTTGAAAAATTTGGAAATAAATATTTTGCTTTTTAATATTTTTATGCAAAAAATGCATGACCTATGATTACGACTGATTTTAGTAATTTTTATAAAATTTTTATACCGAAACGTGATGGTTTGTACTTGGAGAAGTTTCATTGGGAGGTAAAAATATCCTGCATTTTCATAACTGAACTGTTTTTTAACCATATAACTTTCCAAATTCATCAATTGTATTGTTCAAACAATTAATTTACTTTTATCATCTGCTGTCATTTGAGCCATTCAACACATTTCCAAATTTATGTCCCAAACAATTACATAATCCGAAAATCCATTGCACTTTGATTTTATTGAACTACAAATTTTTTAGATTGTAAATACTATTTCCTTAAAATAAGTCGAACGCATCAGGCAGCCAAAGTGATTAGTAATTGCGAAAAAAAATCACCAGTTAGGTATACGTTTGTTTCCGTTAAAAATATTGACTTTCTACATTGTATGTATAAAAAAGTGCCATTCTTTAAAAAAAGTTTTTTTTTCTACAAAGTACAATCCTACAATGTTCCGAAGGACCAAAATTGTTAAAAAAAAAACCATTCGACTTTGTCTAACTTGTTGCGTATGCGTAATTACCCTTTTTTTTCTCTGATGGTGATGAACGTAGTAGCGTCGACCCCACCATCGACGCGCGGGAACGTAATTAAAAGCAATTAGGTACCGTTGGACAGGTTCCAATGAAATTTTCGGCAGATTCATCCTCCCTGGCGAACGCCACTCGTCCAAGAAAGTTCGCCAAGGGTTATTATCTGGAGTAAAAAATCTCTGTGGCATCCCCAAAGTCAATATTTGCGAATGCGAGATTACAGAGGAATTTCCTTTGACACGCTCAAAGCGTATACTGCGCTCTTTGACGGTGCTGTTTCACTTCTAACATTATCAAGGTAGTAAAAGAAAGGACATGGAAAAAAGTAGAAAAAAGGGGGGGGGGGAAGAGAGCTGGTGCTACTACGACTGTAAGCTATTAAAACTTTTCCTTTAAGTTTTTTTTTTTTTTTTTCCCCCGATTAGTGAAGCAGTGATTATATCCAGGTAAACGTTACCTCTTGCGCGATAAACGGAAGTGATGGCAAAGTAGGGGCTTTTGTGCGAGTCCGATTCGTGGAATGCGAGGCTACCTAGGATTCAGCATTGTCTAAGAGCTTATAGTATCCATTAGTTGGGCGCCTTTATGGACTTTTTATGCGCGATACACCGGACAACTATTTTTATATACGAATGTGTGTGTGTGTGTGTGTGTGTGTTGCTCAATGAAAGAAAGAATGCGATAAATCACGTGAAATTGGAATTCGATGGTTCGTCCATTGGAAAGGACTTTGCAATATTTTATACACATCGTGACAAATGAATGATATCATCAACTATAAAACTGGAGACTTTTAAAGTTACATTGCGCAAATAAAAAGTCAAGCTATGCAATCCAATGAATTGTCGATCGACGTGATTGAGGATGCGAATCTTATTGGAAATCAAAATAAAATATACAGATGATTGTGCTCGTATTAAATAAATGGTTCCAACTGTTACGTCGGCGCAACGTACCATTCGAGCCTAAGCTTTCGCTTAATAGCTCGGGACTCGCACTGGGCGCGTAGGTGGGACGCGGGGCTAAAAGGTAGTTGTTTTTCTTGTCTGAGTATTTGAAAGGGGGTGAGGGCGACCGTTTTGATTAAATCGACGCGGTTGTCGAGCAATAATATGATGCACTTGTTCGCGGCGCGCCTCGGATTTATCAAGGATACCTGGTGTGACGTGTCGTACCGTATCCCGTTCGCGATCTAGAGGTTACCAGTGCCGTAACGAGCAAAGGTAGTTACACTCTAGAGGTTACGCAAGGTGGCAAAAATGGTTTAAGTTCGCGACCGGTCTAGGATCCACCAGTACCATCCGGAGTAAATGTGATTGTCCTAGACTTTACGTGAGGACTTATTTGTCTATTTAATCTTGTAACGTGGTATTTACCGATACCAAATTTCAAACTCTAACAAAAACACGTTCGCGTTTGGAACCGAGAGAAAAAAAAAGAACTTGTCACTTTGCATTTGAATTCGACTTACTTTTATTTTTTGATATACAACGTACAGTGGAATGAACCAGCTCGAGGTGTCCGAGATCGAAGATTGAAAAGCGCACTCTTGGAGGACCGTGAGATAGCAGAGGCGGACTCTAGCTATACCTAGTCAACCGTTCGAGGGTGAAAATTAAACTGTACTGACTGTACCTCGCTTCGCAGTAGACTGGGTTGTAGCAGAGGCGGATTCTTACTACTCAGTCTACTTTGAAGGGTTATCGTCGAGCCGAGTCGAGTCGAGTCGAACTCCGAACTGCGAACTGATTTTCCTCTGGGCCTCCGGGCCTTTTTATTGCAAGAAGCGGACCTCGGTCACGCGCTGGCTCGAAAATCGCAGGAAAACTTGCCGGGGGAAAATTTTGAAAAAAAGATAATAGCCTAAAATCTAATTGGCTAGAACTGCTCTAGTTTAGCCACTCAGAAATTGGCACATCCCACATCCGGCTTGTTCTCCTCTATGCGTCAAGAGAAGGGAAGGTGATTCATTTACTCATGCCCTTCCTTTCTCTTTTACATCAAAAAGTTACAAGATTTTATCATATCTTAATATTAACGTTGAGATGTGGTATAGTAACCATTGTTCACCCATTCAATCGAGCCCAATGCAACAAGAGTGATGAAAATCGCTTAATATTTAGGTTTGGTTGAATAGATGTTTAGCATCTCGTGGTATTAATAAGAGTCTTAGTAGTAGTTAATTTTAGATATTAATAACTATAATAATTGCAAGAATTTCTGCTAGTTACACCTGTACACGTGAGCATTGATCGGACTAATAAATAATCATAAATGACTCTCTCTCGACATCTCTGCGTCAGGAAAAGGGGGAAGTGCCATGACTTTCCCGTTGTCCTTTACATTTGAAACAGTGACAGTTTTTAACAAGATTACAATTTGGGCTATTGCCGTATGTTTATGAAATTATTAACGCGATACAAAAGGGTTGTACAGTAAACCATGAGCCTGCGAACATGAATGGTAAAAATCGGATAATTCTTTAAAAGTCAGTAAGATTGCTTTCGTAGGTTTATGTAATATTGTTGCTAGCTAATGGTGTAGCGTGTACAGGTTGTATTAGCCATAGTCTATGGGTCTTAACTCTAAGTTATCCTAGTTTTTAACATACTCAATCTATATATACTAATATCTAATGTTAAATCTCAGCGCAGCTGTTCCCAGTTAACCTTTTGCATCTGTTATTTCTTTAAAGTTATTTTATTATTTTACGCCTTGAAAAATATTTCATTTGATTTCTTTTCCGGTCAGCATGGGCCAGCGTGCATGTATGTGAGTCATGCATGGGCGCAGTACCTTAGCTACGAGCAATCTTGTAGGTGATTCACCTCTTTGCAGATACACATTAGCCCCTGCGTTTAGTGTTATAAAATCGGTACGGAAAGTTTTGAAGAAAGGAAAAAAAAAAATTTTTAATGTGGATACACCGATGTTACACAACGATTGGGTTTATTGATATTTTTTCTTTGTGGACACTGTTTACCAGATGGTATAGGAGATAATGGATTTTTTTTAAATATATGCACTGGAAAAAAAAACGTTTACAAGATTACTAACAAGTAAATATTGATTGTAATCAAATAATATTAACTTGAAACAAAAAAATAATTTCCTTTACAACGTAATATTTAATGGATTCCAATAAATATTTATTTGAATAGTATAAATTTTTATTTTTTTTTTATTCGTATAAACGTTTATTTCGCTCGACAAAATTTTCCATTCAGTGTGTCATTGATCGTTGCTCAATTGAAATAGTATGTATTATTATGACCCATCAGGTTAGAAAGTAGGGGTATATTACTAACCACGAGATAATTAGCAATAGTTTCACTTTATAGCAATAGTACGTATATACTTTTTTTTCTAACACCTCCTCCAAAATAATCACGCCTCCTTCTTATTTATAACTTGTAAAGCAAATAAAAATCGAGATAAAAAATCACGAGCAAAGTCGATGACATATTGTGTATCAGTGCACCTTTCGTTCGCGTATCGGTCGATCCTTTGGAGATTATCAAGCAATGCAAATCAAATGCACATTATCAAGTATTACCTATATGTACATTACGTAGATCAGCTGAACTATGAATACTGGCGTTCGCACGTGTTCCGTCCTTCTCGGTTCCGTCTTTATTTTACGCAACATACGTTATTGGCTTATGCGCTATAGATCCTTTTAAAATTTTTTTCAAAAATTTGTGGTAAATCAGATCATTTTTAATAACTACTGACTCGAGTACAAATACGAATTATACGAGGTACGACTGCAGAGTTTATGTTCCGAAATCAAAGTAACATGCACGTATTTTCAGCTGGAGTAC